AGGGTGACCATTGAAGAAGTAAGCACAATATTTCATACTCCAATAGAGAAGAATAGACCAGTGGTTCTGCGATCGAGAGATCGAACGGCGAAATCTAGATATTCACCGACGGATCAAAGATAGGAATAGGAACAGAAGCTGATTTCTTCTGCAATAATCTATACACAGAAGGCATCTATAAATTAAATAATTACAATTCCATCTTTCAGGCCGAAATTGTGGGCATATCAGAAGATGTCAAGTGGACTTTTGCTTTATTCTAATATCCATAAACCTTCTAGTCGATAGCCAAGCAACGACTAAGGCTATTCGTAGCGCCAGTACCAAGTTTAACTGCGTTAGGTTATTCAAGCCAGCAGTAACTAGACTAGACTCTCAGTAAGCAACTTGGGTAACATCATCTGGGTATCCGGTTATATATGTAGGAATAGGAAGAAGTGAAGAGACAAACGTTACTGATCCACTTGGGGGCAGCTGAAGAAACAATTACCCAGGCCGTTCAACACTATCAATGATTGTTTGAAGCAAAAGACCCTAGTGGATCTCTTTAGGTTTTGGATCACAATTAGCACAGGGCATACAACAAAGTTACTTCGGGGCGGACAGACCAAAACCTTCTACTTCTAAGCAAAAGCAAGCTTATTAACATTGTAGGAGTCATCAAAGGGAGAGTAAGTGCCTGGTGGTAAGGTCCTAACTTCAGAAAATGAGATGAGGGAACGTTGGAACATTATCTATGAGAAAGCCCAGCATTCAGCTGGACTAGACGGCTCCCAATGCTCCAACTCAAAAGACATTTAAAAAAAAATAGGGTATTGTACATAATCCACTAAATTAATTTTGTTACCACACGGGAATACAATGGTCGTAATGATGAGTGGGCCAAACACCTCTGTTTTCAAACAGTTAACCAGCAAACCATGTCTTTTTGCTAATTGATGACCACAATTTTTGTATTCAAAAAATTTTCCTGACAGAGTTGCCACATATAATTTCAATAAAATTTATATAACAAATTTAAAGTTAAATTAAGTTAAACCAAGTTGCAAGTTATAAATAACTTGTAAATAATTGATATTTCAAATATATTTTCAAACAGAGTTGCCAACTATAATTGTATTAGAATTGAAAAAATATATATATTTGAAGAAAAAATTGTACACTAAGCAGAACTTAGAAACTCTAGTGCAAAAATAAAAAAAAACAAAAAATGAAACAAAATTTTCTGAGTTGCCAACTAAAGCTATATACAAATATCTTTAAGGAAAAGGGTTGCCACTCAACTAAACACTAAAATGTATCCATAAGGAACTAATCGATGTAGAAGTTTTAGTCTAAAATTATACTAATTTACCGTGAAGCAATAACTCGCGTGATTTCAGCTGAACCATAACCGGCGAACAGTTCCTACAGGGTAGCGTCAAAACCTCAACTATCACACATACACACATTCACACTCTCCTTGCTTTCATGTCACCTCCAAGGCCATTTTGACTACTAGTTGCAACTGCTTGCCGGGTTTGTCAAGTCATTCAGCAGTTGCGTTACACGTAGCGTCTGCGCAACGCTTTCTGCTGAGTTTTGTCTGAGTTTGTTGTGTTAATAAAGTTTGCACGTCAAGTCGAGGTGTGCCAGCGACACTCAGCTAACTTATTTTCCTGTATTTGTGTTTCTTTATGTGTATGTGTGTGTGTAATTATGCAACCGTTGCACATATGTGACAGGCAGTTAAAAACTTTTACTATTTCAGTGAGATAGCATTCATCCGACTGGCGGAAAGCTGACGAAGCTGCAAGTGACATTTTCGCCGTGAAATTAATGTCTCTTTGTTCCTCTGCTCGGATTGTTATGATGGCATATAGATTGTGTGTGGTCTTAACTTTCCGAAAGACATTTTTCCATTTCTCGATGGATTTCCAGTATTGATTGCTTGAGAAAGTTTGCTAATGAAGTTGCTCTCTATTGAATCAAGTTAGATTAACTGGAAACCATTTACATTTGGGTTGAAGCAAACTCAGTTCAAACTCAGAACTCACTATTTCACGAAGGCAATACCTCGGTATTAACGTCTCCTCTCAGTAAGCCACTTTTAAACTCACGACATCTTCATTCTTAGAGTCTCTAATTAGATCAGTCCTAATATATACTTAACAGTGTTAACGCCGCTCTTAAAATATTCTCAAAGGCAGCGATAAATAGCCTATCACAGTTTAGGTTTTGTGCTTCCAAACAACCCACAGTCTCGACAATTACCACTCGTTTGAAGCCTGGGCACGTGCAAACTCGCTACGATCAGTTTCCATCTTTCTATAGCAGGTTTCTTAGCTACCATTCTTGATCGAAAACCCATACTTCGATTCCTATTCGTATAGGTATTGAAGAAAACGAAATAAGTGACGAATGGATACACTCTGTCGCTGGAAACGCGGACCTCGCAAATTATCTAAGACTTGCAATGGTTTGTTCGCATAAAGTTTCATCTGGGAACACACTCTATAGAAGACATACCATAAAATGATTTTGGCATAGTGGTAAGGGTCACCTCAAAGCAGAATCTCCTCTTCAGACTCCTGGTAAAATGGAATTCGAAGAATAAAAAGCATATGCTGAACTCTGATAAAATCTTCAAACATTGCCTCCGTGACTGTCCAAACTCCAGCCGATTCAGACTGGATGCTTCCAATGTACCAAACTACAAGAAATAGGGCCTCTATGGCACTAATAACTTTCGACAAGCAGTTTTAATGAACCAACCGACATCTTCGCAAGGAAATAACTCTTATAAAATAGTTATAAAAAATCTAAAATGATCTTTGAGTATTAAGAAAAGTATAACCAAACTGATAAGTAAGGACGGCAGGGTAATGAACTGGGCAATTATCAATTCATCCAACAAAGAAGTGCGCTTAAGTGGAAGTTCTGAACCCCGGCTGAACCGCAGTCTGTATGAATTTTGTAACAGGAGTCTTACGATAAGCCCATGTACTACCAAAGTCACGAACTCGATCTGACAATCCTGCACCAGATCAAACTTAAATCGCTCAAACTTCCATCGAGATCATAACGGCTGCACAATAGAAAATATGCAAAAGTGTGTATAAAATAATTGCTGCAAAAACCTCTCCATCCTCAATACCTTACAGAATTAAGCGGCCTTTCCATGCCCAACCTATTTTATAAATTTTGACATACTTTTGCTTACTAACGGGTAACCCCAAACCAGTTTCTAACACGTTATTCTCAAGCGCTGCACATTTCTGTGATGTCGCTGTGGCGAATTTTGCGAAAAGATCTTGGTCTAAATACTTACAATATCGAATTGACGCAAGAACTGAAACCACTTAAGCATCGAACCGTCATATGTTCGTGAATTAGGCTGAGCAACAACTTGAAAATAATCCAGATTTTCACCGAAAAATTATCTTCAGCGAACAGGCTCATTTCTGGCTGAACTACTGGCTCCATGAGTCATCATTGCAATCCAAAAAAAATTCGGTTTGGTGCCGTTGGGCTGTACTTTTTTCATGATGTTCAAGACGTCGGCACGTTACTGTGAATGGGAATCCCTACTGCTCAAAAAGCAATTATTTTTGGCCTAATTGAATGGTATGGACTTGGACAATATGTGGTTCTAACAGAACGCCGCCACATGCCACACAGCGAATGTCACAATCGATTTATTGAAAACCATGTTTGGTGAACGTGTTATCGCACGAAAAGGCCCAGTCAAATGGCCGTCTCGGTCGTGCGATTTGAAGGCGATATAATATTTCCCGCCGGAGTTACATCAAGTCTATGGTCTATGCCAATAAGTCAGCGACGATTGCTGCACTTCGTACGAATATCGAACTTGAAATTGCGAAAGTATCGACCGATTTATGCTTAAAAATCGTCGAAAATTGGATGCAGCATCTAAAGTTCCGCAAGCGTGAACATGCTGGCCATGCAAAAGAAACCGAGTTCCATATATAAGAGTATCACACATACTCTCACAACAATAAAGAATTTCATTGATATCTCAAGCGGTTTTTGTTTGAGTTTAAAACGAAACCTTTTGTAGCGCTCTTATTGAAAACCCCGTTATTATTGCCTTAATCAATTGTTCAGTCTCCGAAGAAATAGTTTAGATCAGATCACAAACCGATCAAAGTTTTTGTAAGGAAAATCGCTTATTTGTGATGGCGCCACCGAAGTTAAAATAGTCAATATTTAGTAGGAATAACTACTATTGGACGAAAATGTAACTTTTCCACAAACCCTCACCAGCTTTCCAGCGCACCCCGCACACTCAAATATGCATTAAAGAAAGAGTGCTTGCATTTTGCTGTTAATTTCCCCAAAGATGTGCTTAAAAGCAATTCGTGCACAATACATTTTTAATTGAATTGACTAGCTCACCTTCAACGCTACAAAAACGATTTGTCCAAGCAATTATTTACCGCTAGCCGCATATCCGCCATCCATCGTTGACACCGCTGACAGGTCCGCGAAACTTTGGCACCATCATAAATCATCTTGCCACAATTTAATTAGAAAATTTAAAACCACACGCCTAATACGCAGCCACACCGCGCGCCTTCCTCCTTACCAGTGCGCGCTTAAGCCTCCCTACACATACACATACACACATGGAAATCTAGAAAATCGTTTAAAAGTAATGGGTGGCTTATCCGGGCCTCTGCCATTTGATAGCACGCACACGCACGTCGCCAACCCAACGATTTACCGTTATCATATACAATTACGCGCGCTCGGAGTTGTGCCTGTGTCGGCGCTGGTTGCTGGTTGCTGCTGATCCATTATTTAACTGTGTTATGTTATACTAACTTCCGCTGGCAGAAGATACATGTTGCTGCTCATACTTCGGAGATTTGTTGTTGTTGTGCTGTTGCTTTTAATATCATTCATAACGGCCATTTCAATATGCTTTATTTATGCATTTGCGTATATTTGCTCTCAAATGTGTTGTTTTTTTTCTCATTTTGGCTTCATCGTTTCAGAGTTGGGCGCAACAATGCCGTGGATGACGCCATTGGACCAGCTAACGCACGTCACAAAATCGTTGTTATGGGTGCGGCCAAAGTAGGCAAAACTTCCATAATCACACAATTTCTGTACAACACATTCACCACGAAATACAAAAGGACCATCGAGGAAATGCATCAAGGCAACTTTTCAATTGCCGGCGTTAGCCTGACGCTGGACATTCTAGATACGGCCGGCTCCTATGAGGTGAGTGTGCGAACATGAATGACTTCTATTTCAATACCATTTTACAGCCGTATATGTGGATGTGTCTGTGGGTAAGTTCACTGAACATGGCTGGTGATACAGTCAGCGCCCACGATTGCGTACTTTTGCTTATTATGCTACCTATAGGCGTATGGATTGAATAGAGCCGTGATTTTGGACTCTCGTGTCGCTTTAAATTCATAGTGATGATTCACAAAGCTTTTGTTCCGTTTTTATGATATCCTCTTTGGAAAACTGTTATATGGATTCACTATTTGACAAATACGAACTATTGTTCCCACGATAGTTATCTCAGTGTGACCAGAAATATGAAAGAAATAACTTCGGCTGCACCGAAAAAAATCAAATGTACTTTTTTTGAAGCATAAAAGGCTTTGCAAAGACCTTTATCTTGACTTTCATTGGTCAGTTTGTTTTGTTTGGACCTATCTGAACAATTTGTTCTGAGATTTAAAGGTTGCCTTGAAAAATAATTCTTGCAAAATTTTGTGAAGGCATCTTGTCAACAGAAGGACCGATAGTTGCATAGTGCTCATCATCTCTAGCCTGGGGCCAAACTAGTTTTATCCATAAGTAACCCGATGCCATTGTTAGTGAGCTCAAGGCTTATATTTTCGATCCTCTATCTGGATCACTTTTCTTAAGAAAGCGCCGGAATAGTAAATCAACTGACCCAACCTCGGCTTGAAAAATTTTACAAAAGTCAAAAAGCCTGAAGTTGGTACTGATGGATCTTCACTATCCTTTCTCCAAACTTTTACCCATCCGAAGCTCAGTGCCTCAGTGGCTTACATCTCATTCCATTGTCGGCAGAGAGCGGGAAATGACTACTATTGGCAAATACCTGCGTCTCATTCTACTCTTCGGTAGAAGCAGGATGTAAACCTGACCATAGTCACGGCTACAAAGGCACTCATGGTATGTAATCTATTTTCCGAGGAATCCTGAGACTGCAACCCAAGGGTTATCACCATGATCCCAAGGGTTATCAAGAGGATATACCCCATAATCGTAGAACAGTTTACTATTAATGGGTATGTGCCTCAAAAGCAACGCAGACAGTCCAGCAGCAGCACTGGAAGTAATGCTAGATCTCACACCACTACACATAGTAATCAATCAAGCTGCTAATTACACAATGCTTCAAATGACAACTGAAGGCTTTTTCAGAGGGAAGGTAATCTCATCCAAGCAGATGAAAGTGCTAAGTGATAAAGTATCACTGGCTCTTCTGATAAGGGACACAATTACCAAAACAGTAGTCTTTACTAAGGATTTTATAGACACCCTCAGCAATAAGGCGGAATGTAATAATTTCACTTCTGGTGGAGGAGTATTAAGTAAAGCTGAATAGCTTACCTGATCGTAACCAAGTTCACCTTGCTTGGGTGCCTGTTCACACGCAATAGCCGGGAATAAACGGTCTGCCAAACTCATCCGTTCTGCAAGGCATGCACTATGTCAGGTTGCTATGGGTGGTTACAACCTCATCAGGTTTAAAGTAGTAATCAATCTGCCGAGAAGTAAGTAAATATCGGATACTTGTCGCTTTTTACGCCGGCAACTACAAACTCTGAACGCACCTACACAACATGGGTCTACGACATGGAGCCGAAAACCGCAGAACACCTGCTCATAGACTGCACATCAGTCCGCAGAAGAAGTATTAAGGCCTTCGGATCCATGTTTGCGAATAAGGACCACATTGACTCACTAGGCCGCTTAGGGAAGGGCACAATAGCCATAGGTCCGGTGTATATTTCTTTTTTCAATCTAATCTATTCTAATCTTCACCTCATTCCAGAAGTCAATACATTTTTGCCGAATCTTGTATAAAATTCTCTAGAATCAAACTTGTACTATAAGAGGAGTAATCTACGGTCTGTCAGTCCCTTAAGCTTTGCTTTACTGCTCCTCAATGTGTGTGCTTCCGTGTATATGTATGTGGTTGGCCGATGTGTGCCGGAGATTTTGTCCTGCATTTATTGCGGTTGGCTGCGGTCACTTGGGGGAAGTGCGTGTGCGTCGAAGATTACATTGTTCAATGGCAACCGCAAGGCTCATAAAGCGCAACCAATTTTTTATGTGGTAATTACTATTATTGTTGTTGCTATCAGTACTACAGCTGAGCCACATGCACACAGCGGTAACGGTTTACTTTCATACACATATGCGAGTGTATTTGTGTATGTGTGGCTAGGAGTTTTGTATTTTATAACCGCTGCTCGGTCATTTTTTATTAAATTTTAATTTCCATCATTTGCGGTTAGATATTGCGCTTTCGCGTGTAGGTTGGTAGATGTGTGCGTGTTTGTGGTTGTATGTGTGTGCCATGCGCGCTATCTGTTTTTCAGTCTGCCGCCATCCATCACTCAACTGATTGATATTTTCTATTTACTTGTGAAGGAGGCGCTACTAACTATTCTTTAACAACATATTTGCAACACGCTGCGGTAACACGAACACGTGCTCATACACACATCGCAACACACTTACGTGTGTATATGTTCACATGTTTTGACATTGATGGGTAAACAATTTTGAAACGGAAATTACTGTTTGAATTTCAATTGAATTCGCCTTTTTCCTGGATCCTTTTACACATATGTAAGTGTGTGTGTTTGTATCATGCATAAATGTATTGTACATATACAATTGGCAGTATTCAGGGTATACCTGTTACACCATCGTTTAACAAATTCACCATCAACTTTATTTCATATGAAATATTATTCGCGATTTTTGAAATATTTAAATTTTACTTGAATTTAGTGGCATAGAACGAATGAATGGAGAGTTGGAGGTTCAGCAACAAATTTATTTTAATGAAATTTAAGAGTACACTTTTTAGTATGTACTATTTGTAGTATTCTTCACTATATTCAATAGTAAGCCTATTTTCATAATTTTAATATTCCTGATTTTTCTTCATAATCTATGTAATCCACCTTGGCTCCAATTCACTTATGGTAACGTTTTTTCAAGTCCTCGAAATAGTTAATTTCCGGAAGCCTTCAATTGCGCCTAGCGATTCACGTTTAATGTCTTCAATTGACTCAAAGCGGCTTCTCTGGAGCGGTCGTTTGCAAAATAGCCAGGAGAAGAATCAATGCGAAAACTAAAATTTGTCGGCCCATAATTCAGTCCTCGTTTTACGACTAGTTTCGCGCAAACAACGCAAAACACTCAAATAGTATTCCTTGTTGACAGTTTGGACGATCGGAAGGAGTTCGGAGGGTACCACACCGCGATAATCGAAGAAAACTGTCAACATAACCTTAACTTTTGTTTGCCACGTTATTCGGCCGATTGACTGTCTGTTTCCGGGTCGTAAGCATAGCTCATCGCTAGTCAAAATATGTTTCATGACATCGGGGTAGTCGGAAAGCATTGCTTCACAGACATTAATCGTGAACTCACTGTTCTTAGGCTCAATTGATCTTTTAAAATGGGGTTCACTGATCTTTCGGGCATTCCAATGATGCCGGAAGGTCTCTGTCTGTTAATCGTCAATTTTCAAGCACTAATTTCTGTATTTTATTGACGTGGATGTCATGGACGTGGTTCGTCATCAACGCGTACTCGGTACTCTTTAAATAGCTTGTAGCAATGAAAAATACTTGCTCGCGACAAAGTCTAAAAAGCGTTTTATCTTTTAACAGACTATAATGTACCCAAATACTAGAGCGGAAAAAATCTCGGCTGCGGGAAATGTCCTACGGGTCATTCTGTAATTTGTGATTTTATAGCAGAAAAATCTACCCGCCCATCTCATAGAAAATCTCATAAAGATGTGACAGATCTTTTCACACGGTTCTTTTTCATACATAACCTAATTATGTGAATAAAAATGTCATCGAATTCTGTTTAAATGTAGATTGTGTTTCGTACAGTCCTTAGATGTGTAGCCGCTTCAGAATTTATTTATACTATTTCAGCAATATAATATATCCTTTCTTAGATATACGCAATAAGATTAATACTCAATCATACAGTTATCTGCGGATTTGTCAAACTCTCATGTAGAGTCTTTCAAATGTCGATCAAACAATTATCGTCTACATTGGACATTAGACGAAGTCTCGTCCGAAATCGTTAATTATCCAAAGTCTTGTATCAAATATATTGTTGTTGTAGCGACACAAAACATTTCTGAATTAAGTATTGTAATATTTTTAAATTAATGAATTGATCTAGCTCCTCGGCTGGATAAAACACGGAGTCCGTTCCGGGTATATAGACCTGTCTTTAATGAAAACGACGAAATAACCGGTTCTCTACATTGAATAGGAGAATTGGGAAGTACAATTAGTAACAAAATACTGAGGTTCATACCACATATTCTCCTGCGAGATTGGCTTTTAAACTTCATACGCATTATAGTTATACTTATGGTCTGTTTGGTATGGTTTGTACACAAGGTAATTCGACCTCATAATATACAACATAGTCTCAGAAGAAAGGACCGGATAGGAACTTTAACCGTAAAACAGTAAAAACACCTGATTGATTAGTGACAGCTGTCAAGAAAACTAAAGACCGCTAGAAATAAAAGGGCTTTCGAACTTTCTTTCAGCTTTCGACTCAACTGCTTTACACAATGAATTCGTTGTTAGACTTGATGCGCTTGTTGTAGAATTTCGAACTATTTTCTGACACCGTTCTGACCGTCCTTACAAGATCTTGTCTGATTAAGAGAGATCGGCTAAAAAAATGTCCAACTCTAGCCAAGACCAAAAACAGTCCTGTTTAACAAGTATATTAATATTAAGCCTCTTGAGTAAGATTTGGTTAATACCATCATATAATAGCGGAATATCGTCTATACTTTAACTTTTACTTTAGGTTTCAGGTGCTAACATGTTGGTGGATGCTGCGGTGCGGACGAGCTCATCAACCACCCTTTCCTTAGAGGAAAGGCATATGCCGTTCTTTTAAAAGCTCTTTATAAGTAACTTTTAGCTTTGAGTCTTGTTCTC